AACTTAATAAAACAACTTTTTTGTAAGCATTTAGGATCACTGAATACAAAACTAAAGTTCATTTTTCAAAATTCAAAATGGAGAATTCAAAATGGCGGACTAAAACAATGCAATTTTGAAACAAAAATTTTTTTGTTCAAACTGTGGTATTTTAATGTTTTTGAGGTCGCTGAAGCCAAGTATGATGTTAAAATTTAAAAATTCAAAATGACGGACCCAAAATGGCGGACGAAAAATTTTTCAATGTGCTTAGATTTCAAGGAGACTTGGTACTTTAACGTTTTCGAGGTCGCTAAATTCATATATGATGAAAAAATTTAAAAATGCAAAATGGCGGATCCAATATGGCGGACAAAATATTTATAAAATTCTTAGATTTCAACGAAGCGTAGTGTTTTATTATTTTTCTAGTCACAGACTTCAAATATAATGCTCAATATGAATATATAAGTCGCCGGAAAGTAAAACCTCACATAAAATTCTGACTCCCATTGAATTAACATGTCCGTCAGAATTTTATGTGTGGTTTTACTTTCCGGCGACTCATATAAAAAAAAATTTATAATCACTACGCTTCGTTGAAATCTAAAAATTTTATAAATATTTTGTCCGACATATTACTCTCTAAATCTGAATCAGCGAAATCCCACTTATTCTCAGTGAATAGTCACTGATTGAAATAGCTATAAGTATACCACTGGGAATCAGTGGAATTTCACTGTTTCAATCAGCGAGGAATTATTTCACTGATTTAAACAGTGAAAGTTCGCTGATCTAATTAGTAGTTTTTCACTGATTTTTCAGTGAATTAAATATTTCTTAGTTTTTTCTGTGTCAAAAGATAAAATATTAGTTTAATGAAAAATATTATATTTATTGAAACACGTACATCAATTAGGAAAACTGAACATTATTTAGTAATTATTCGTAAATTAATATTAGGAAAACGTAAGTTTAAAACGTAGAATAAAAACACAAAAATATAAAAAATGAAACATCCATTGAAAATAAATAGAAAACACATTAATCGAAGTTTCAATGACTTGTTTGATAAACTATAAAACTAATTTGACGATTCTTCGTTGATAACGTTGCACACATTGATGTGCATCGATGTAACTACACTGCGAGTTCCCGTGTGAAGATCATAAACATAATTTTCAATGAAATTATAGAAAATTTCAAATTTTAGAAGGTTTGTGTAAAAAGATTTAACTAAAATCTTTTTACACAAACCTTCTAAAATTTGAAATATTTCCTCTGGAATATTATTGTCCCTTAACTTGGTGTACAATTCTAAGGGCAATGTAGATATATTCGATAAATCCATCTTATTGAAATTATTGCTGATTCCGAGTAAAAGTGTAATCTACAAAATACAAAGCAGAAGTAATTAAAGGGAAAATCAATTGTCGGTATAGTTAAAATTATGCGCAAAAATAGTGATAAATATTAATATCGCATGAAAAATATAAGTGAGGTTATGTTTCGTGTCAAACGAAAACGAATTAGTTTTCAAATGATAATTTGAACAATTTATGAATTTTATATAATCGAAACCATCTATAAAACAAAGAAAATTTAATTAATTAATTATAAACATTACGTATTTTGTTAAATTTATTATAAAATAGTTAAAAATAACACTGTATAAACCAAAGTAATCTTTGATCAAATTTTGATATAAATTCAACTACTGTATATGAACTTATGATCCAAAAGGTAAATAATAGTGTATAATATGTACTTACTAAGTATTTAAACAATTTTTTCACTTAAAAAACGCAAATGTTGATATAACTTTTAACCTAACTTGCCCAGATTTCTCTTGCACCAAATGACGCTCTGAAATTTACTGCGTCGGCGCAGAAGCAACTTCAGTAAAGTCACTGTTTCGTCAGTGATAGTCGCTGATTCTCAGTGAAAATCTTTGTCACTGAGAAAATCAGCGAAATTTTCACTGATTCAGATTTAGAGAGTAGATCCGCCATTTTGCATTTTTAAATTTTGTCATCATATTTGAATTCAGCGACCTCGAAAACGTTAAAGTACCAAGTCTCATTGAAATCTAAGCACTTTTTAAATTTTCTGTTCGCCATATTGGATTCGCCATTTTGAATTTTCAAATTTTACCATCATATTTAAATTCAGCGACCTCAAAAACGTTAAAGTACCACAGTTTGAACAAAAAAATTTTTGTTTCAAAATTGCATTGTTTTAGTCCGCCATTTTGAATTCTCCATTTTGAATTTTGAAAAATGAACTTTAGTTTTGTATTCAGTGATCCTAAATGCTTACAAAAAAGTTGTTTTATTAAGTTTTACCATGATATACCGGTTTGTATACTTCAATTTACCATTTTTTCCTAAAAAATGCTAACTTCACTCGACACCCAGGAGCTCAAAAAAATAAATCAAGGGTTCCCTTTAATTTTCCTCTATTCTACATTTATTTAGCTTTATTTTGGTCCAAGGTTCATTCAATTTTGTCAATGTGTTCAAGAGACATTAGGTTTTGAACATGAAATTGCAAAAATAACACACTGTGTGTCGGCGATTTCCAGGCGCCATGACGTTTTAGATCGGACATCGAGGCACCTAGAAAATGTTAACAAATATTAAAAAGTATTAAAATTAATAATTAATATAGTATTTATTTAATAAATAATTAATTTTCATTTATTACCTGAGTTGGCAAATAACGTTACCGACGTTCGGCGGAAGCAATGCCCTGTATATGTTTCTGAATTTGGAAGATTTAGAAATTTGGTAATTTCTTGCGGCATTTTAGCAAATGTATTTCTTCCGATCGGTTGAATGGTGCACGTTTCATTCCTATAACCAAGGAAAAATCGATCCGTTTTTGTTTTTGGTGGGCGTAGAGCTTCATACTTTTCGATGTCATTTAAATAGTAATTTCCAATAACGAATGACCTCGATACATCTGTTTTTGTTTTCGGAATTTTAACCAAAAGTAGTTGACCCTGTCTCTGAATATCATTTAACGACAAATTTGTTAATTTCTCTAAGCGACAAGCACCGTATATGCCGAAAATCATGACAACCTGGAATTCAAATTTTTATTATTTTATATTTAATAATTAATGCAATTAATCATTAGTTTAAGTAGAATAATTACATATTAGGTTAACTGTCAAATTTATGTTTTATAGGAAATCAAATTTTCATTACCTTTTAATTTAAATATTATTGCAATTAATTCTTTATTTATTTAATAAGAATAAACGGGACTGATCCTTTTGTACAAAGTACTCTTACAATCTAAGTAGTTAACTTCATAACTCTTAATACATAGGTTCAACCTATAACTAAAAACTAGGTAAGCCTTTCACAATATTGTATTAAGTACAATTCTTTTTAGAGCTAACTTAAATCTGATCGCATTACTATCAAACAAGTCCAATTCATCTGCTATCATATTTGCTTCTCTATAGGATTTAGTATATTAGGTTAGGTGTTAAATTTTATTATCTATAGTGTTTTTAAATGATTAAGATAAATACTGATTTAAATTACATACCTTCACTAATAAATATTTTGCATCTGGAGCTTCTAAAAAAATCTTTTTACTTCATCAGATGTCAGGACACTAGATTTTTTGGGTTCGAAACCTTTCGACTTTCCTTTTAAAAAGGCAATTAGATTGACATAACCGCTGATTTTCACATTGTTATTAATATTTAACGTACTTCGCAACATTGAATATAAAGACCACATGGTAGACGGCTTTTTAGTTTCAGATAAATGCTGAAAATACGCTAAAAGCACATTTTCCGAAAAATTCTCCAGCTTTTTTGAGATCTCCAGTCCATGAAATTTCTGTAAGCCACTTCGTATTTCTTACGAGATTTTTGTGGCAATATTGTCGATTTTGCTTCTGCTGCGGCAGCAGCAAATTCTGAAGGGGTTGTATATTCTGGTTCTTTAATGTCAAAATCGCTCATTTTGAGGTTATATTATTTTATTGTGAAATGTGACAGACGATAGTTTTGAATGTGTTCAACGATTCAACACTTACGCCACCTCTGTCAATTATCTTAAACCACAGATTAAATTGAAGATTGTGACAGTTTTATTGGTCACTGGTAAATGGAGCTACTTTGCTGCCCTGAGTGCGGCAAAGTTTTGAATTGAGTGCAGCAAAGTAGATGCGCATGCGCAGTAGTATATTTACTATTGGAAGCAGAAATCATCAACTTTGTTTGCATTAAAGTAAAGTGGCGTATAAAATAGTACATTGTGTATCAAGGACCGTACACGCGTCTTTCTGGACCGAGCAATGTTTGCAGGACGAGCCGTAGACGAGTCCTGCAAACATGCGAGGTCTATGAAGACGTGTACGATCCATGGTACACACAATATTTTATGCAACGCAAAGTTATAGGCTTAAATGTTATTAATAATATTATTAATATAGTTAATAGAGAACAAAGAAACCTATCCTGTCTATCACAGAACCAGTGTCAAAAAGACATACCCTGCGGATCGCGCGGGGGGGTCGGGGGGCCCGGAGCCCCGGTGGGGGGTTCGGGGGCGGAGCCTCCTTACTAAAAAAACCAAACTAAAAATATTAATTAAACCAATAACAACTTACATTTTGAAGAAAGTCACGTTATGAAGCTCCTACCAAGTGTTTACTTAGGGGGGCGAAGCCCCCCGCAACAAAATTGCGTATACAAGGGAGTAAGATATGTAATTTATTATTAATTAAAATATTATTTTTACGCTTTTAATTTAAAATGCATTTTGAGATTAGGGTTAAAAATAAAAACAAATATTTAGGAGTATGTATTAGGAGATCGAAAAGTGAGACATTTAAATAAAGTAAAAAGTAATTAGTTTTACATTATTTTTTATTAATCAGGACACAGTAGATTATTTGCATGTTTTACAGATGTAAATTTCTTAATTTAAGGTAATAATCAATTAAAATTTTCGAAGTATTTAACAAAAATATTATTTCTCTTAATATTTTAATCAGTCACTAGTGTTGAAAATAAAATTTATATCATTAATTAAAAATATGGTCTCCTTTTTTGGCAGTGACGATATTGCAATAGAATTTTTAAAAACTGTGTTTTTTATTTGGTATTAAAATTTTGAACTGTGAAAGAGCTGTTGTTGAAAATTATTTGTCCTTTTTTTGGTGAAAGGTTAATAGTTTCGGCTTGTATCGACGTGTTTACATTTAATTGAGATGAAACATCTTTGAATGGTGAGATGTTAATACTTTCTGATTTTGAAGTGTTTACAGTTAAATCAGAAGATGCATCGCTACTAGTTGTTTTTTGTCGCTTTGAAGACGATTCTTTTTGAGATTCACATAATATATTTTTTGCTGAAGTGAAACCGATACTGGTTGGTGCGTTTCCAGGTTGATTCAAAGATATTTTCGTTGAGGTGATAGAGGTTGATATTGTTCTACTAACTTTAGCTTTGTTTGCTACAGACTCTTCGACGTATCCTTCTGCAACAGTGCTAGATTTCCAGCCTCCTAAACGTTTTAAGGCCAGCGTATCAGCTCCTGAATCGGCCAAGATTGTTGCAGAGGCACGTCGAAAAGCGTGACCGGTATAGGAATCAGGCCCTTGCAAATTTAAATATTTTGCAATTGTTTTTGGCATGGACTGGAATTTATGTTTGCCGAAGACTTGTGTGGTGCATCTACCTTGCTGATAGTTCAAAAAGAATCTGTCTGTTGTTGCTGTGGGACGACGGAAAGCTTTATATTTGCGTACAGTTGCAGTGAAGTTTTCGTCGATGACGAATTTTCGAGGTACTTTGTTTTTCGTGTCGGGAAGATTGACCACTAGCAAATTACCCTGTTTCGTAATATCCTGAATTTTGATGTTAACAAGCTCACCGCCTCGACAAGCTCCAAAAACTCCAAAAATGAGAGCAACCTATGTAAAAAGTAAAATTTAAGGTAATAAATATTATTACCAAAGTATTACTTGTATCTATAGAATATTGAACTGATTGCAAATATATTTAATGAAATTTAATTCGAATTAGATTTAAGTCGAAAGAAATTATATTTTTGACAAAAATTGAACAAACGAAAGATTTAAAAAATAATTAAATGAGATTAAAAATTGTACCTTTGTTACAGGATGGATCTCGTCAGGTGCATCTTTTAAAAACTTCTTTACTTCTTGTGAAGTTAACACTTTAGATTTTTTGCTTATAAATCCTGAAGATTTCTTTTTCAAAAATGCGATAAGAAGATGATATTTGTTGATGTCTACTTCTTCTTTGACAATTAACATTTTCTTTAACATATAATAGATATTCCAAAGTGATGAAGTTTTATATTTGTTGCTCAGTTCGTTGAAATAAGCCAACAATACTGTTAATTCGTTTGATGATTTAATTGATTGTGTGTTTTTCCAATCAATGAATTTTTGATAGTAAATTTCGTATTGGGCTTTTGATTTATCTGGAATCAAATTTTCCACTTCTTGATTTGCAGCATCAAACACACTTTGGGGTAAAATTTTTTCGGAATTCTCCATTTTTAACAAAAATATACAAATATTTTTCACTGCAATAAGCAGAAAATGATGGGTATTTTGCGTTTTGACATGTGATTGAAAGTTAGGTTATGACGTATTGAGTACGCGTCTATGGCTACAGATGGCATGACTTTTTGTTACCGGCTGTCAGTAAAAATTTGTAAGCAGAGCTATTATAAGTCTGTTTATAGGGCAAATGTGACATTTACGATCCTAGGACCATAATACGCACTACCTATCTTGAAAATATTACAGAAATTTTCAAAAAGCCTTCATCGCGGAAAGAAACGTTTTCTATGAAAACGACGAAAAAGCATACAAGAGCTGAAAGAGAATATAAAAATCGTGATAAAAAAGGTAATGTGTTCATTATGATACTTGAAAAAATATTTAAATATTAATACATTTATATTATTCTTTAATTAATGTACTTTTTATAATTTTTTAGATTTCCAACTAATTTTGAAATTGTTGGAAAAAGTACTCGAGCAGACTGTTGAAATTACAGAAATTTGAAAAAGATTACACCGAATGGAAATAATGCTGGATAAATTATTGTCCAAAAACACTGAAAACTTGAAATCAGGATTCATCATGGAAAACAACATTGATTTACAGTTCAAAATCTTGAAAGAATTTCAAACTTTTGACACAAAGTTAAAAAGCGATAATCAATTTAAACTTGATTTTGTAAGTTGTAATATTTTTATTTATATTTTTTAAACTTAATTTGATTTAGTTCAATATCTTTCACCCACAATCGTTGTAATCTAATGTAAAAAAAATCTGATGATTATAGTTATAGCGTCGATACATAAATAACACAGCCCCACAAAAAAAAAAAAGTGTCATGTACTTTTGACCGGAATACCCTAACCCTATGTATTTTGACGCGCTGAACACGAATCCGAAGTCCGTTTTGCTCCATCACGTCAGGATTTTTTTCTAACCTCAAAAAACATGTCGGATTTTGAGAAGTAGGCGATTTTTTTAAAAATTGCTGTATTAACTTCAAACTTGGTATCTGGGGGTTTTTTGTGTCGCTGATTACGAATCTGAAGTTAGATTTTCAAAATCCAAAATGGCGGATCCAATATGGCGGACGAATTTTGAAAAAATTTTAAGATTTACTTCAAACTTGGTATCTGGGGGTTTTTTGGGTCGCTGATTACGAATATGATGTCAGATTTGAAAAATTCAAAATGGCATATCCAACATGGACTTCTATCGGACATATTAGATACGCCATTATCTGTATCTGGGGGTTTTTTGGGTCGCTGATTACGAATATGATGTCAGTTTTCAAAAATTCAAAATGGCATATCCAGCATGGACTTCTATCGGCCATACTAGATACGCCATTATCAATTTTTGAAAACTGACATCATATTCGTAATCAGCGACTCAAAAAACCCCCAGATACACTATTGCACATTAATTTTTAAAAAATTTCGTAAAATAATGTCCCCCTACCAAAAAAAAATTCAAGGGGTAGTTCCCCCCATAAATCAGCTTTTGGTGAAAAACAAAACATACGTGTCAAATTGTTTTTAAAAAACTACAAAACTGCCAAGTTTCAGAAAAATCGTCGTATGGCACTTCCCTAGTGTTACTTGTCAGCAACTTAGAAAACCTGTAGATACCAAATTTCATAATAATCTGACAATTTTTTATAAATAATTCCTTAATATTGAATCAGACATGTCGAATTTCGGAAATCTGACATCAGATTCGTAATCAGCGACCCAAAAAACCCCTAGATACCAAGTTTGAAGTAAATCTTAAAATTTTTTCAAAATTCGTCCGCCATATTGGATCCGCCATTTTGGATTTTGAAAATCTAACTTCAGATTCGTAATCAGCGACACGAAAAAACCCCAGATACCAAGTTTGAAGTTAATACATCAATTTTTAAAAAAATCGCCTACTTCACAAAATCCGACATGTTTTTTGAGGTTAGAAAAAAATCCTGACGTGATGGAGCAAAACGGACTTCGGATTCGTGTTCAGCGTGTCAAAATACATAGGGTTAGGGTATTCCGGTCAAAAGTACATGACACTTTTTTTTTTTTGTGGGGCTGTGTAATTTGAATAATATAAATTTATTTATTAGAAATTGTTAAAAATGTAATTTACTTATATTAATTAATTAGTATAAACAAACGTTTATATTAACTATTTCTTCAATTCAATTATTTTTATAGAACACTTCTTTCAGCTTTAAGATTTACAAACACAAAGAATTCGGGAGACAAAGAAGTTTTAAAAACGTATACATTTCATTCGTGTGTGATAGGTAAGTTTAAAATATTAATTCTAAAATTAATAAACAAAAAATAATATTTTCATTTTTATAAGCCTGAATTTAGAACAATATAATTTATTAATTTGTTTGAGAATAATAATATTAGAATAATATATAATAATAATAATAAAAAAAATTAAAATATGAAAATTTTAATTCATTCTGTTGGCAGAAGCTGTTATCACAACACACTTTGACCAAAAAACAAAAGGCTTCGACTCGGATAAACAGGTGACGGAGGCCATAGGAACAGTATTGGGAAATGTGAAAGATTGGGAAGGTGTGAGGACGGAGCGCACTAAAACGAAGCAATAATTATTTATTCTTTTTATAATAGTTCTATTTTTTCACATAATATCGCGCTACTTGATGAAAGTTTATATAATTTTATATAAGTATTAATGTAAAATCCTTCTAAAAAATAAATAAATATTTAATTAATAAGCAGTTTTCACTAGTTATATTAAAAAACAAAAAATATAATTTTAGATTTACAAATTTGAATAGTATATAATATCAAACAAGTTGTAAATTCAGATGTTCATTACATTAACATTTTGCTTCCTCTTTACGATGAGCAAAAAAATTTGCTTCCTCGTGGAGAAAGCAAAATTTTATTGCCAAAATGTGAATTTTTGATTTTTTAACTTTCATTAATTCTTTAAATTTACCTCAAATATATACTTTATATATATCGATCGATTCGTTTTGACGTAAGAAATACAATTATTTCATATATAAACTTCAATATAAAAAATCGGACAAGTGCGAGTTACACTCGCATTAAAACCGAGGGTTCCGTACCCTTAAACCTAAAATTTAAGGGGTTAAAGTGTGAAGGCATGTGGAAAAATTCCAATTTTGCTTAATTTTTCATGTAATGTGAGCATAAAAACACATAGATAAACAGATAGTCACATATAACGAAAATTATCAGTTTTTCCTTAAAAACGCTATGATTATCAACTCCAATCATGCTCACTATATTTTTTTTGTAATTTATACGTAAAAATACATAAAAATGTGTAAGTTTGAAGCCCATTAGATAATATTTTCTTTGTTTTTTGAAGAAAATTCATGATTTTTATAAAAAATTATCAGTTTTTTCTTAAAAACTCTATGATAATCAACTCTACTCGTTCTCGCTATATTTTTTTTGTAATCTACACGTAAAAATACGTAAAAATGTATAAATTTGAATTCCTTAAGATAAAATTTTCTTCTTTTTTTATTCGAAAAATCCATGATTTTTTCTAAAAATATGAGTTTTCCTTAAAAACAATATGATCATCAACTCCAATCGTGCTTGCTATATTTTTCCTGTAATCTACACGCAAAAATACGTAAGTATACCAAATATGAACTGTCTTGGTCAAATAGTGTGTGCGCTAGGTGGATTAAACGCTTTTTTTCAAAATTTTTGATTTTTCCTTGACAACGCTATGTAAATTGATCCGAATCATGTTCGCTATATTTTTCCTGTAATTTTCACGTAAAAATACATAAGTGTACCAAATTTGAGCTCTCTATGTAAAAAGATGTGGCAACCAGAGGGGGGGTACATAGTCATTTTCAGGGATTTTTCGTAAAAATTCATGGTTTTTCCTTGACAACGCTATGATAATCAATTCGTATGAGATTCGCTATATTTTTCCTGTAATCTACACGCCAAAATACATATGTATACCAAATTTCAGCCCTCTAGATAAATTCGTGTGGCCGCTAGGGGGGGGGGGTACATGCCTTGCTTCACTAGTCTCATTAATAGGGTTCCCCCTTCGGGTACGGAACCCTAAAAATCACAAAATTTTATTGACAAAATGTGAATTTTTGATTTTTTAACATTCATTAATTCTTTAAATTTACCTCAAATATATACTTTATAAATATCGATCGATTCGTCTTGACGGAAGGAATACGATTTTATTATAATATAACTTTAAATTTTTCTATTTAAAAATTTTTTCGATTAAAAAAAATTTTATGGAAAAAAGACGATAAAATTTTTTTTTGGGGTATTTTTCAAAATCCTTTGGTCAGATTTGAGATAATAATATGATAAATGAGCCTACCAAATTTTATCTAAATCCATTGAAACCTGTTAAAGTTATCTTCTAAACAAAAAAGGGATGCACACACACGCACACACATACATACATCCGGAAAATTAATCAGGATCTCATATAACATGTTTCTATAAAGAAAAAAATTTGTTTCCGGCACTTTGAAAAGTTTTATAAACGAAAGGACTACAAAGCTTCCTCCACGAGGAAGCAAAAATAGGGTATTCGTATGGAATACTGGTAAGGCCTTCACCACTTTTCCTTACATGGGGCATTGGTGAGGAAAAGCATTACACCTTTATGAGGCCCTGATCAGTTTTCCCGACAATGCCCTTACCAGAGATAAAGAAAACTGGTAAGTACCTCATGAGGTCTACATCACAATTTCTGCACGGGAGACGTTCATTTCTCGTCCCAAGACCTTTCTACAGTCAAAATGTTGCCCCTGTAACTATTTCCGATTGAGAAATACAGAATTTTAATGGTTTTGACAGTTTAACATTTAGTCCCGGTCTCCCCTATTTTATACCAATGACAGTAATTTCTTGAACAACTTTAAAGCTTTTATTTAACGATGTATTAATTGAATATTTTAATTAACTAAAAATAATTTTAACTAAAGATACCCAGGCGCAAAGTGACGATGAGTT